TCTTTAATTCTAGCTATGGTTTCTTTGAACAAAGAGGATTCTCTGTTTAATTGGTCCTTTGTTATTCCTACTTCCTTTTCGATAGTGTGGAATAATATTATACTATTTTATTTTATTGAATAAATAAAAATATTTAATAAATTATTAATTACTACAAAATTAATGACTAAAATCTTTTTTTTAGTTCTAGATAAAGTTGTTTAGTAGATAAAAAATATTATAATATTAATATTAATAAATTAATATATTTGATATATTTTAAACATTAAATTTTTATTTTAAAAAAATTAAATTTAAATAAACTAGTAAAATTATAAATAAAATATTAAAAAAAAATTTTTTTTTAATTATAAATTAATGTTTTAATGATTTGGATTTAAATCTTATTATAAAATGTTAATTTATTGTTAAAACAAATATAAAAATAAAATGATCTTAAAATTTTTTAAAATTAAAATAATTTATAATAAAAATAGATAAATATATACTGTATATATAATTAACCAATTATTGGTTTTATATTAATGATTGAAAAGTTGAGAGTAAAATGAATTCCCTGCTTAATTGTCTCTTCCTTTTCACTCTTTCAATACATTTTCAATCAGAAAAAATGATTACTAATGCTATTTAATAATAAATAATCGAATGTCACAATACCCTTCCAATTACATACAGTAACTCCCATCTTTATTGGGGAATTTTTTATCGCGCTCCGCAGATCTCTCGTGGGACTTTCGTCACGTGATGTGCTTCGCTTACATTTTATTCTCCGACAGATACAGTGTATACATAATTATTAAATATAAAAATTTTGCTGTATGTTGTAAATACATGTATTTATAGTTAACGAACTTTTTTTTAGATAAAAAGACACAATAAGATGTTAAATATAATTTTATATTTTTGGTAACAACTATTTATATATTTTTAATTTTGAGTGAAAAATAACATTTTGTTAATTTATCAATCTACGTTGTTACATTCGCAATACAATGTAAATTTTGAACAGTCATAAGACGTTGAAAAAACGTTTCACACGCCCATTTACGTTATGGCTGCATTCTTGTAGCACCATGGTTCTTCATAGTGTACTCATGTAACCTTTCACAAACTGAGGATTTTAAAGGCTGAAATAAAGTCAAATGATATATTGTTTATGTATTGTCTTGACGGAGAACCATGAAAAAATTTGCAACGTGTGATCGGCGAGTCTGTCGCTAATGCTAACAGAAATTCGCATGACCGTTACTGGTGATTAAGGAGATAGAAGGTAAGTGGTGAGGCATTTGTTGTCTATCTTTATTAACCTTTTAATTCCTCCATCTTTATATTATCTTTCTGGATTACATAGATTAAATTAAACACTTGAAAACAACAATATAGAAAGATAAATTAAGTATATTTACGCCATTACATTTCGCAGTCATTTATTCGACTGGTGATTTCGTGATATCTTCCAGCGTAGATCAATCACGTGATAGAGTATTATCGCTGTTTGTTACATAGGATCTCGCGATACCTGATGCAGGTACGCGAGAATAACGCTTCCCTTTTTCACCCTTACAATATAAAGTATATATTTAGGGTATATTATTTAGGTGATATTAGAAATTAGATTACATTTTAACTATTCACAGTACAAGAACTTTATTTACTTTTAGTGAGCGATCATAGAATGAAGTAAATTATACTTACTCAAGTGAAGAATCTGTAACTATTATTACAACAATGTGCTTGACGTTATACCAAGAGGGTCAAATATTTTTATTTATCGCTAGATTTTTGCGAAATTGAAACAGAGAAGTTTATATATGCCATAGGCCTCGTTGTAAGAGTTTTAGAAGCCGATTCCCTTTATATAGTAAAATATATTGTTATCGTTCCCGGCGAGTCGGTTGCTAACCTAGTTTTCTGGTGGAGACGTGTCACGATTTAACAGGTGATTCTTTATTAATATTAAATTATAACTCCTTACCAAACTAGACCTGTCTCTGATCCACGACGCAGTTTCCTCTTTTGACCCTACTGGATCCTGCCTGAAGCGTTAGTTTTTTTTAAGGTAAATAATTTTATTAATTAAGGAACTTAGAATACAAGTTTGTTATTGTATTTTGGTTGCAATCGATCTAATCTAACTGAATTTTATTTATATTAGCTACGACGCGTCCCAATTATCTATTGTCGCGTCATGCAAATCCTATCGGACTTTAAATGCATCAGGCTACCACTCCATATCCAGCCCATCCATTTTCCATACAACACTACCAATGCAATAATTTTATTAGCTTCATATTTAAATTGAGATATCTATTGTTGGGAGAGAAATCGGCGAGTCTGTCATTAATGAACCAGCACTAAGGTGTAGAGTTGATTTGGCCAAGGACGCCCTTTATTAACAAGATCTTCTCTTCTTTCCTAGCGCCAAGTCTTTCTTGATAAACCCGGACCGCTTCTTTCCTTCGGGCGGCGTTTATCTTCTCCCCTAAACGGCGCGTGCTCGAAAAGGTAAGTTTGTTAATTAAGATTTCTTGATTTGGCACTGCAAATCTTACTACTAAATTAGGCAGATTTTAATTAAAGAATGTTTATTTTAATTGCGTCGTTGTCGTCTCTCTTGTATCGAGATTCCTCCCTCTTTTAATACCGTCACGTCATTGAGACAATAAACTATCTTTATGGCGATAATAAGCTACAGCTAACAATATAAGATGTTAGCTTGAACTTTTGTGATTGCATTTGGGTTGTTTCATAAAAATTTAACTCCCCTTATTGCCTAACGCGTCTATCCTAGACGAAGAATCGCTTTACGTGACCATTCGCCGGGGGCATTTTTCCCATCGATACTCGATACTTTAGAGTCTAGGTAGAAGTTAATGTTGCTGCACTTACTGAAATTACAATCATGTGCTCAGTCGCTGCCATCCTATTGAAATTTTTGAAGTGCCAGAAGACCCATTGTCTCTAATTAAGGCCAAAACGAACTATAAATGGAAATAACCGATGAATTGTTTGTTGGTGATATCGTAATTTTTTATGTCAAAATAGTGCTCCAAGCAAATTTCATTTCAGGTTATCGTTTTCGCGAGTAATAATATGGTTTCTCGGTGAATTTTCATCTGTAATTAGTAAGTGGATCCCGGTAAATTTCAATGTATCTTGAAATGTATCGGGGAGAATGCGAAGACTAAGCTTGTAAAATTCTTTATACTGGATAAAAAAAATAGATAAACAATATGAAAGATCAAATCTTTTTTTTTTAAGTAATAATCATCATGTACACCCTCGTTTACACACTGTATTTGGAATTTATGAACAACATGACAAGATATCAAGTGGGCAGGGCAGTGCAGTATTTCGTCATCCTCTAAAAATAGTCCATTGTAAATACCTTGGCAGTTCACATAAGGAAATTTGACGATCCCATCAAGCACACTTCTTGAAACTATGAACTAACAGAATTCTAGAATGAATTAAGCTGTACAGAACGTATGCGTGTAATACTGTAATAGTATCAGAAAGTACATATTAAAAAAATTTTTATCTGAAAACTATAGTTGCATAATCGGATCTTTCACATATTTGTTACAATCAAGACTTTCCAAAGTCAGATACTTGATCCGAAAAGGCTTTAACTTATTGTTTAAATGTCGATCCTACTACAGTACTAAAACCACGGTTTTACTTTCGTGGTTTAAACTTCTGGAGATAATTTTTAATTAAGATTGAAAATTTATTTACAAAAAAATGAAATATACCAAAAAAACCTTCGTGATTTCCTTATTAATTTTAAGCATTTTGCTTACAGGAATTAACGCGGTTTCTAAAGTCGCCGATGTGATGAAACGACAAGCTGTAACTTCAAACCCAGGGAACACTCCCACACCTGTGGTTAGCACGCCCGCACCACCAACAAAGTAAGTATAGTGAAAATCGTAGAAAGTATATTTACTTCAACAGCATAAGTAACAAAACACACTTATGATTAGTACGGCTGCACCGCCAACGCAAGAAGCATCTACAAACAATCCGCCACCAATAACGCAAAAGTATATCTACAATTATAGAAAGCATGTCTACTTCAACAAAAAAATAACAAATTATACTTGTGATTAGCACGGCTGCACCGCCAACGCAAGAAGTATCTACAAGCAATCCACCACCAGCAACGCAAGTATCTACGAGCAACCCGCCACCGCCATCACCAGCAACGCAAGTACCCTCTTTAATTATAGAAAGAATATATACTTAAATAACACATTAAAATCACACTTGTGATTAGCACGGCTGCACCGCCAACGCAAGAAGCAACTACAAGCAATCCACCACCAACAAAGTAAGTACTGTATAATGAAAATCGTAGAAAGCATATCTACTTCAACAGCATAAGTAACAAATCACACTTGTGATTAGCACGGCTGCACCGACAACGCAAGAATCTACGAGCAACCCGCCACCGCCACCAACAACGCAAGTATCCTGTAATGATAGAAAGCATATATACTTCAACAGCACAAATAATAAATTACGCTTATAATTAGCACGGTTGCACCGGCACCGCAGGATACAACTGCAAGCAATTCGCCATCAATAACTCAAAGGTATAATCTACAATTGTGAAAAGAACATTGCTTCAACACAAATAACAAATTCCACTTGTTATTAGCACGGATATAACAGCAACGCAAGTAACTGCAAACAATCCGTCAATAACAATGCAAGTATTAACTACAATTGTAGAAAGTATATCTACTTTTACAGCACAAATAACAAATTACACTCGTGATTAGTACAACTACACCAGTAGCGCAAGAAACAACTGCAAGCAATTCGCCATCAATAACTCAAAAGTATAATCTACAATTGTGAAAGGAACATCACTTCAACACAAATAACAAATTCCACTTGTCATTAGCACGGCTACACAAGCAACGCAAGAAGTAACTTCAGGCAATCCGTCAATAACAATGCAAGTATTAACTACAATTGTAGAAAGCATATCTACATTTACAGCAAAAATAACAAATTACACTTGTGATTAGTACAACTACACCGGCAACGCAAGAAACAACTGCAAACAATCTGCCATTAACGGAGCAAGTATCAGTTACTACTGTATAAAGCACATTCACTCTGATAAAACCATTAACAACTACATTTATAATTAGCACGGAAACTCTCTCTACGGATAGAAGTTCCCAAACATCAAAAACGTAAGTATTAACTACAATTATAGAAAGTATATCCCCTCAACAACACAAATAACAACTACATTTGTAACTAGCCCGACAACGTTAGATACAACAACTACAATTTCTTCAGGTAATTTAGAAAATCCAATGGCCGTCTCATTTCGGTCATACTTTCTTTTCTGAAACATCAGTATTTCCTAATCTACCTCTACTTCCCCTCAAATATTCACTGAGACTCCATCACGTCATCGACAAAAGATCGTGTTATATCATCTACTGCTACTCCTTCTCCACCATCTCAAACCACTACAACCGAAAACGTTTGTAGCGACGACAACTGCCAAATAGAAACTTCAATGTGAGTTATTTATACTATATTTTTATTGAACTATTTAATGTGATTGCTGAATTCTTTGATAAATAAATTCATAGTAGTGTGACAGGAAAAACAGAATTCAATACCATAACACCTAGTGAAACCACCCCTATAACAACGATAACACCGACTATCTCTGATTCCAAGTTCCGTCCTACCACCACTAAATATGCTACTTCTGTATATTATTCCACTATTACGAGAGTCTTTCCAGGTTATACCACTACTATATACGTAACTAATGATGGAATTACGACATCGTCTAAAAAATATGTTCCGCCAAGTACTATGTTAGAAGTCGTTTTAGTAACAGCCGCCGTTGCCGAATATGATCTCATAGCTACTACAAATGGAGCTTTAGGAGGAAGAGCTAAGTTCAATTGGCAGGGCGAAATGTTGGTTGGTGTGATAGTGAGTTTATTGGTTATCGTAATCTCTTTTGGGTGTAGTATCATGGTATAGATTGCCTATTCCAACTAAATACTGTGCTTTGTTACAAATGCAAATTATTTGAGTTAAACTCATTTTATTATTACTGCACTATTATTATTTGCAACAATACTTTATCATAATGAGTAAATTATCAAATAATAATGTATGTCGAGCATTTAACCGATTGATCATAAAATTCATTATTAAAATTTAAGTGACAATCGTCACAGTTTGATTACGGTAAGTGCGGTGTGAGGCATGTACAATTTTATTTTGCTAATGAATGCTTTATACTTTTTCACTATGGATTATTTCAAAACATAAAAGGAAGAGTTTAGAAATAAAAAGAAAAAGAATAAATGCTAATCGATAAACTACGAGAATGCGTGATTTATACTGTAATTACATACTCCATTCCTCCTTTCCCATATTGTATCATCTAAGCAAGAGGGAGGGAGAATTGTGAATGTGACCATAGTTGTCCTCTTATAATATACAGTATAACAGTCGGTCAGATAAATTTTACTATGGTATAAAAATTGAGACTTATAAAATTCTCGATTTTCAAAGTACTGTAATTGCAACGGTTCGACATTTTTACATTTTTAGTCGTCACTTTCATGGAGTTTGTAAAAGAAAATATATGAACAACGTGGACTACAGGTTGACCCTAAAATTAGTAGGCATCAAAAACGATACTTTAGTAATTACCGGATTCCGGAACCGTGTAGCTATAAACACTCAGTTCCATTTCCGAAACAATTTAATTATAAAGAAGCGTATTTAAATAAAATTATTGGCTTCAACTTAATATATTTGATGATATTAGTAAAATAAATAAATAAATAAATAATATTTTTTATTAATAAATATAACAAAAATACATTAATCATTTATTTAAAAATATTAATGCTATTACGTATATAAATCCATAATTTCTTAACAATATTTAAATTAATTTCATAAAAATTTTTGTAATATATTAAAAATCTATAAAATAATGATATCATTAAAATTTTAAATAAATATTTTATAAAAATATATACTGTATATATATAATTTAAATTTAAATTTATAATTATGTGACTTGCATAAAACGTGTATACAATATTATTTCTCTTGGGTTTTGACTTTTTTTAATTTATAAAAATTTTTACTTAAAATATTTTATATAATTTTTTTTATTAAATCAGGCATTAAATATAAAACTTTGTTTAAACAAAAGTTTATTGATGTTACATTAACAATCTTTACTAACGTAAATTGATTGTAATCTATTGTAACAACATTACTAATATCAATTAATAAATAAACAAATAGATAAATTCATATTAATAATATCAAATAATTAATATTTATTTAAAATAATGAGATTTTGCTGAAATAAAAATATGTCTATCAATATAATTATTTAATGCTTTTAATAAATTAATGATTTTTATAAATATTAAAATATTGTTATTATTTAAATTTATAAATTTAATTGCTTTTTTCTAATCACATTTATTTTGTTAAAAAAAATTTTTTTATAGTAATTTTAAATAAGAAAAAATATTTTATACTCTTTATCACAAATAAGCTCCAACTCAAAAACTTAAGAACTCAAGAACTTACAAGACAATTGGTGCAATAGAATAGGACCTTTGATCAAAGTTTACTCAAGTTAGAAAATTTTGCTTATTTTTTGATTATATAAAAAATAACTATATCAATTTTTTTCTTTTGTTCTTTTGTACTTCTTTTTATTTTATTACAGTATATCATAAAAACTATCCATATTGATATAATTATATTCATTCAATCAAACATTTTTCAAAAATATATTCAAATAAAATTGTTAGATCTATTGTTTGTTTTAATATAATTTTTATATATAATCTTATTATGACATTACTTATTGTACTATTTTAAAATTTTCAAAAAACCAAAATCGATTTACTCCCTTCAAATAATCATTACCCTCCAATTATTCAATTAGATTTTGTTAAAATAATAAAGCAAAAATCAAACTTGTTTAAACTGATTTTTCAATAAAATAACAATAACAAGTACTATAATAATAAACAATATCAATTATACTCTATTATTTATATCAACAAAAATTATTTCTCTAAAACTAATACCAGTGCAAAGACTGGACTATTGGTTTTCTTTTAAATATTTTTTTTGTTTATATAGATCTTATAATTTAAATAACTTAGTTTTAGTTTTAATAGCTCATATTATTATAATCTTAATTTATTTTTTTTTTTGATTTTCTTTTATCTTTTATTTTTTTTATGCTTAATCAAAATTTTGAGTAAATAGATATAGCTGCTATTTAACTATATTTAAGATATATAATAATATTTTAAAAAAATCTTATAATTATAAAAACTCTTTCTGCTAATCCCTTTACCAACACAAAAAACAGATGTTCCAAGAAAATTTTATATTTCTTTGTAATAAAGTCTATATACTTTTATTAACAATACTCACATCAAGAGACCATAGTCTCTCCCACTTGTTCCTTTCTTTCTTTGATATAAACTTCTTGTATTTCTGCAAGTAAATATAAGAAATATCTACCTATAAAATTAAAGGCAAGAAAACTTTATTAGGAAAAAGAACCTATAGAAAAAATATACTTCTCTCTTCCTCCGGAGATTCAAAACTCTAGAAAAGACTGGCACAGTTTTTGAAACTCTTTTCTCATCTTCCTCAAGCTTCCTTCTATCTTTTCAAGCATGTAAACTTTTTCCTGATTTTTCTGAGAAATTTTGCCTACCTCAGTTTGACCCTGAATTTCTGGTTACACCAGAATCCTTGAATGGTAATTGGCTTGAATTCAGGACTAGTTGATCTACATGTAGCAAGAAATGTAAACAAGACACATAACTCCTATGTATTCTATCTCGTACAATACAAAACCTGATGATACAATTGGACATAGTAAAAAAAACAAGATGACAAGGTGCTTTTTTTGTTAAGAAGTGTTATGATGTTTCCTTCTCCCCTTTGAACTGGTTTCTTTTCTCTTCAAAATCAAAAGAAGTCTCATTCCAATTCAGTAAGAAGCTTCTTCTTTTGTTGATTATTCTGAGAAAGCAGCAAGTATTAGTATAAGTCTTGTCTCAAGCAATAATTTCCAATGGATATAAGACTTGTTTTAAACAGTATGTAAGTCTTATAATAAGTATAGTGGTATCCAAAATTTTTTGGAAAAATTTTTTAAAAAATTAAAAATTGCATTGTTATTTAATAAATATTAATTTAAAAAAT